AGAACTGGCAAACTGTGGTATGACTCATTCTTTTTTTTTTCAATGAATGTGAATAAGTATCTAAAAACTCAAAATTTACAAACATTTTTTAAAAATTATTCTGTTTTTAGGACGAAATGGTAAAGTATACTGCTACAGACTTTATCAAAAAAGCTCGACACTATCTCAAGCTTTCTCCACCAGACCTTCTGCAATCAGCCGAAAAAACTTGGTTAGCGGCTGCGTATGCAGTGAAGGAACTGTATTTATCTTGTGGAAGTACCACATTTTTTGAAAGAGATTTATTGATCTGAAGATTTAAGGAATTAATCCGATGTCGCATTATTCATTAAAGTATTTCTACCATTTTGCAATTGAACAGTCTCCAAAATCGTTTGCTGAAAAATACAAATTACGCCAGTATTGGACGAAGGCCGAAAAGTAAGTTATTTTATTTTAAATGATTTAATGCATAATCGATTTATTGTTATAACTCTCCATCATATATATTTTTGATTGAAATGTTTGATCCGGTTCTTTTTTGTTATTCCCCCACCGTACTGACCACGCTCCTTTTTGCCGTTTTGGGCACGCTCTTGGTTTTTAGAGTTGAAAAAAAAGGATTTCTGGAAAAATGAGCCTTATATTCTAGCCTAAGCTTTTTTAAGGAAGTATAACCCTAGCCTTGTTAGCTTAAGGATTATGAACAAGTCTAAGTTTACTATCAATTGGCCTGAGCCTTATTTGATCAATAATAACTCCTACAACCCAGCCTCACTAACCTAAACCTTATGAAAATCTAGCCTAAGCCTTAAAGACAGACAAAAGCCTTTGATTTTTTTTTGCCTTCTAGAACTATATCAAATAAATTTAGAATGCACCGACACGTTTATGGCTCTGAGAGATATCAGTCGAGTACGTTTGAGCTAATCATCTCCCAAGTGGAGAAATTGGTACAGGAATTGGAACAAATAGATCGCGCAAAACTATTGAAATCATTCGAGGAGGATTACATCATCAAAAGTTCCGATCCAACTGTAGTAATCAAAAAAGAAGATTGTAAAATTACTTTAGGCGGTGTTGAGTTCAATGTTGACTATTCCGTTTATGTGTAATTGTAGTTTTTAATGTGAGAATGTTGCAATTCAGATGATGGTAGTCATTCAACTATGATTTATTGTAATGTCCATATTAATCCCCGTTTTTTACTTTGAATGTTTTGTATCAAAGATAAAATTATGTTTTCGAAGTTATTCTTTTCTTGTTACTTTAGAAGAAGTAAACATTATTCACAATGATTTGTGTTGAATTCTTACATTTGGAGCGTTAAAAGTTTCATTTATATTTTATCTGTATCTATGATTTGACAAAATTCACTAGGCCTTTAGTTCCCAGACCCATATACGTCTTGATGCAATCTAAATTTATTGAATATATTTTAAAATAAATCGATTATGCATTAAATCATACTAACTTGAATAATTTACCTTTCTGTCTTTGTGCGTTTTTCCCATATTTAAGAATGATCAAGGTCTGGCGGGCACTTCCATTTCATTCTGAAAACAAAAAAATCTTGAAAAATGTTTATAAGTTTGTAGTTTTTAGATAGCTTATTTGCAATCATTGAAAAAAAAATAAAAGTCATACCTGACATTCCCAGTTTGTATTGTCATCTACGGTAACATCGTTCTTAAATGTTTCTTTAATATCCTCAAATTTGCTATCATCCACACAAATTAATTCCGCACCGTCAACCAAAAACTTGACAGGCATCTAAAATCAAAATTTCAGTTATTAAAATTGAACAAAAAATACAAATGGGATATTTATCTTTAAGCGAGAGAGTAAAATAACGTGACAGAGGAAATGAAAGATAAAAGTCTATGTAATAGAAAATTATAAGAAATCTTCAGAGCAGCAGAAGCATTGGCAACAGTAAATCCTTGAAATTGAAATCAAATAATGAGATAATATAGGCACAACGCGATGCGGCACGACGCGACGCGGTTTTTGTTTTTTGTGAAGTTGTAATTTTTAAGGTGATGAATATTTTGTATCCAAGACAAAATTTCGATATCTATTTCGAAATCTTCGAAGTGATTCTTTTCTTGTTACTTTAGAAGAAGTAAACAATATCCACAATAATTTGTGTCGAATTCTTGGATTTGGAGCGTTGAAAGTTTTATTTATATTTTATCTTCACTCAAGTTGCTGTCTTTTTTTGAGGAAATCCATGGATTTACGTAGTTTTACCAATAGTTTTGAAGTTCTGATGGTGGATCTAATCCATTAGAATCAAAGTAATCAATTTCATCCTTGTTTTTAAAATAACAGACGAGTACCTTGACGATTCGAAGTATCCAAGTTCACCATACCTACTTCTTTTGATTTTGGTTTATTCGGCAATGTTTCTCTCATAAAAATTCTTCGGAAATTCTTGATATTTAATAATCTGGGGACCCTTTCTAGGCTCAGGCTGGTCAGAGGCTTTACATCTTTCTTCAGAGAATTAATTTATTAAGGTAATTTTTATTTGAAAATTGTTAAAATATTTAAATCTGAAAAAAGAGGATACTGATTGAAAATCTGCAGAAAAGTCGTTTGGGGAAAATGGTGTCCTAGCGACAACATTCTCTATATTACGCAGACATCTTTCTGGACATCTTGTGGTACAGGAGACAGAGAAAGCATTCTCTACGTATATGGAAAGAGGTTGAAGTCTGAAACAATGGAAAACCGCAAGTTGATATT